TTCAATCATATGGAAGCAGACAGAGAAGAAGCATACACATTCAAAAATTCAAGCCACAACAGTTGCATCAAACTGATCGAATGCAGATTTCTCGTGCATATATATATATATATATATAGATATGTGTCTGTCCTTGACGACCTCTGACCTGTAATTTTACAGTTGCAGGGAATACAGAATATCAAATGTACACAACAGATATCCGATCGGTCCAATTCTAGTTTATCATACTATATATTCCATCTTATTTTGCCTAATCTGAAATTGAACCTAAGAAAATGTAAAAAAAAAAAATCAAAGTTTCACGTCCCCTCAATTCAAACATCCATGAGAGGACAGTTGTTCTATAAGCAAACATTAAGACATTTTCACCATCTAATGGATTAAAAATAGTAGTTATAGTAGTAGTAAAACAAGAAGAAGAAAAAGGATACCTGCCAAATGGAGAGCTTTGCAGAAATGGCCGCCATAGCAGCAAAAATCCGGCGGATACTGCCCACGCGTAGCCTATCCTCTTCCTATCATCCATCTATCTAGTTCTCTCAGAGAAATCAGAAGTAGCGATGAAAACACAAAACCAGAAAGCACCGATTCCAAATCCAAGATCGGTTTGAAATCGCTCGTGACTGATATTTCCTAGAACGGAGGAAAGAGGGGAAAAACAATCTGAAAATGAGAAACATTTAGTACCGTCTGGATTCAGTTGATTATAATAAATTATAAAAATAATTAATTAAATAATAAATTTTAATTATAATTAATTATATTATAACGTAATATATTTAAATATTATTTTTTTAAAATTATTTTAATAAAATTAAAAATATTTAAATAATTTAATCAGAATAATTTTAATTTATTAAAATTATTATATAATTTGTAATTTTTAAATATTAAATATTAATTTTTTAAAGATATAAAATTTAAATTTTATTAAAAAAAAAGAGAAAAAAAGATAATTTTATTTTTATTTTTATTAAATTACGTACTTTTTTTATTTTATTTTTGAACTTTTTTTTTGTAATTTTTTTTCAACATTTTTGACAAGGTTTTTTGCAAGAGCTTCTATTCTCAGCTTTTAAAAATAATTAATTTTTAACTTAAAAATTGATTCTCTAAAAAATAAGTGTTTGAATAATTTTGTGAAGAATTATTTTTGGATAAAAAATTGATTATTTTTACTATCCAATTTGGAAAATAAGATTTTTATGAAGTACTTTGGAGACCAAATACTCGCTCTCCGTTCATTACGTTAGAAATCAAAGAAAGTTGGGAAAATCGCCCTTGAGGATCTCTGATAAAAAAGACGAGGGTAAATGTAAAATTTAATCAAAACTATTTTTTTTAGAATTATTGAATAGCTTATATTATTTGATTTTGGGAGTTTTGAAAGTGTTAAGTTAAATATTAAAAATTATTCTCTGATCATCTACTTCTGGAAGAGAGTTTTGAAGAACGCAAGCAGATTTTCTCTGGGACGCAAAACTTCTTTCACCACAGGCTTATTCAAAATCTCTTCACTCCACTTGTACAGCTTCGGATATTTCTCACCACTGTACACATCAATAAGCCCGCCGGCTTCTTCAATAACCGGCAGCCAGAAAGCCACCAACAGAGAAGCGATGTCCACGATTCCGATCGAATCTCCGTTGAAGAACTTCCCTTTCAGCTCCTTCTCCAGAAGCTCCAGAGCCACTCTTAATTCTTCCGCGCCATTTTCCCTCTCTTTCTCGTTCGGGCTCTTTGTTGCTTTCGATAGTGCAGGCACCACCTAAAATCAAGCAATTACAAAACACTTGTTTAGCGACTGATCAAATCATTCAGATTCATACAAGAACTTGAAAAGTTGAATGACCTTGTCGTCGATGAACCTGGACCAGAAACGAGCCAGGGCTCTGTGATGAGGATCGGAGGGCAAGATTGGATAGCCAGACCAAGTCTCGTCGACGTATTCGACGATCACGAACGACTCGCAGACGGGCTTGTCGTCGTGGAGAAGAACAGGGACCTTCTTGTGAACTGGGTTGTACTTGAGAAGAAGATCACTTTTGTTGGCAAGTGATTCGTGAACGTATTCGCATTCCACTCCCTTGAGTTTCAGAGCAATCTCTGCTCTCGCCACAAATGGGCTATTTACGAGTCCGAAAAGCTTCACTTGGTGGTTTGAACCTGAAGCCATGGCTGTACTTGTTTTCTCTCAGTTTCTGGTCTGGGGATTATGGTCACTGAGTTTGTGGTTCAGTTTCTTATGCAGCCAGGGAGGAGACTGGGATAGACGTTTGGTCAACGAAGTGTTTTATTATTTTTATTTTTATTTATATATATATATATATATATATATATTAAAAGCCAATATCTTAATGGGGAAGAAGTAATGCAAGTTATACATCGCCAAAGACAATGCTTAATTAATGAATTGGATTCTTTGTGTTATTTTATACAAGGAGTTAAAAAAAATTAAATTTAGTTGAATTTTTTAAAATTTTTATGAAATTTTTAAAATTTTCTAAAATTATTTTCATTAAATTGCAAGTTTATTTTAATTATGAAATTTTTTTATATGAACCCGCTCATGCTTCGTTTAATAAAAACATTCCATATTATAAGGTTGTACATATAAGTTGATTAGGCCATTAATGATGATTGAGAAAGAAAATATAAGAAATTAAAAAGGTATTTTATTTCAAAAATAGAATTATTAAAAAGTTAGCACATAACATTTTATTTGATTGAATTAATATAATTTTATTAAATAGAATATGGATGGCGTGATGCATTGAATTCATGTAAGAATTTATCATTTAATTATATCTCCTCTAATCTCTCTCTTTATTTTCATTTTAAGAGAAATTCTTGTATGAACCTTTATTCAATAAAAACATGCTATGTTAGATTATAAATACAAATTGATTTTGTCATTGATAATGATAGAGAGAGAAAAGTCAAGAAATCAATGAAGTACTTTATGTTAAAAATAAAGTTATTAAAATAATGATATATAATATTTTTTGATTGAATTAATATAACATGATATATTTTTATTGGAGAAAGTATAAATAAGGTGGTGCACTGGATTCATCTAAAAAATTTTCCCATCTTAATTGTAGAGTATCATGAGGAGGGAAAAAATTGTAAAACAATATTTAATGTTGTGTTAATTTTACAAAATAAGCCATGTTTTGAATACTCAATTTTTTGAGTGTGCCTTCACATATAATTAATGGGAAGAAGTGTCAACGGTTTTATTGGTCAACTGTCAATGTAATTAAATGCTTAATTAATGAATTGGATTCTTCTGGTTATTTTACACCACGAGCGAAAAAGAATTTTAAATTGTTGGTGAAAAAAAAAAATTTAACTTTAGTCAGATTTTTTAAAATTAATAAATCCTATAATTTTTTTCCACCAAGCGAATCCGACATTGAATGAAAATTAAACCGAATCGATTGATTCAACTCATAAAACATGAATAGGCCTCTTTTATAATATAGTCTTCTACTTGAATTGGTTTGGTACTAACCCGTTTTAACTTAAGTTTGACCCTAATAACCTCACTAACCCAAAAGGTTATTGGGTTGGCCGGGTTGGCAAAATAAAGGGAAAAAAAGTAGAGAAAAGTTGAGGAAGTTTAAAACAATTGAGATTTGATTAAAAAAAATAGAAGAAGAGAAAGAAAAGTACAGATAACCATCGGAGATTGAAGATGAAGAAGAAAAAAGTATATGAGAAAAGAAGAGAAGAAAAATTAGAATGAAAAAGTAAGAAGAAGAGAAAAAATCCCTGAAGGTTGTTGAGGGAAGACTTGCAATCGCGAGTTGTTTTTCATTGCTTCACGACCAGCGGAGATTGCTTGGAAAAAACTTGACAAATGTTGAGGATAAGAAAAGAAAATAACGCAATTGGAGAACGGAGAATAGAGAAGAACTTGGGAATCAGCAGCGAGATGGTGAAACAGTAAAAGTTGAAATAAAAAGTTGCACACTTTTGAGATTGAAAACAAATGTAGAAAAAATGGCTTCGGTTGGAGTGAATGAGTGATTGTACATTTATTCTTACTTATGATTTCTCACTCCGGAAAATTCAAATTTCAAGCATTGTCATAAATTTACATCATCATCATCATCATCATCTTATAATTTTTAAATGCCTTTTTCTAATGTTTTAAAATTTTTTTTATTTATTTTATTTTTAACATTAATCTTGTAAATATCCATTTATTATTTCCAGATATTTTAAAATTTTTTTATTTAATATTATGTATATCTATATTTATGATCTAAAATAACATCATGAATGCATGAATAATTAATCACCTAGCATATGTCTGTTATGTATATGGTTATGGTTGAATATTTTTTAATGATTATTGTTTTTGTTGTTATTTTTATTGTATTCAATTTAAAATATATTTTTTAATTATGATAGATCTAATTCTGATTAAGTTATTAATTTTTGAACCACTACCTCAATCGATTTAAAAATTAATTCAATTTTTAATACTTTGGAATCTAAACATGATGGTTCTAGATCAGATGTAGGCCCCACTACTCCTCTCGGGTTTTTTTTTTGGTAAAAAATAAAAAAAATTAGCTTTAGTTCCTCATATTTTAGGTCATTTTAAGTTTAGCTCCCATACATATTCCTAAATTCATGAACAGGTTTGTCTTCCCTATTTATCACCTGATGAAATTTAAACTATTCAGATTTTTATCTTATCTAAATTTAAATTTTTTAATTTTAATTTTATATTGATTAAAATAAAATTTTAAAATTTCTTCAATAAACAGTTTATTAATAATCAGAACACGAAAGATTTAATATAGATAGTTTAATTTAATATTTAAATTTTTATAATTTTTATAAATTGACCATCAGATATATCCTAAATAGTCTAAATTTAATATTAATTTTTTAATTTTTAATTTTAATAAAATAATATAAAAATAATGATAATATCCTAACTGATACTTTTAAAAAAAAATGTAATTTTAAAAAATTGTAAGTTAAACATTTCAAATTTAGACGGTCCAAAGTAAATTTGAATAACTAATTTATAAAATTATAAAAAATTTAATGTCAAATTTGGATAATCCAAACTAACTCTTGACTATTTAGTTGGTAATAAACAAATTTATTAAACTTTTTTATATTTTTTTATTTCAATAAATATAAATATAAATTTTAAATTTTAAATTTAACTCATCCAGATTAAATCATCTAGATGATGCAAACCTCACTAAGGTCATCCTGAGGAACATCAAAGGTTCTATACCACCTTGCTTATGGTGTTAGATAGTTCCATTTTTGAGCTTTGTACATGCAAAATATAAAATATTGAGCTTAGTATAGAGCCTCTTCTTTTATATGTGTTTTCTTTTCTGAAGAAAACTTATTTTATCACATTTGACTTGTCAATTTTTTTATTGTAAGAATTAGGGTCTGAAATTCACTTCTTACATAAAAAGCTCCCCATTCATTCATTTTTTTTTTTTAATGTTTTGAAGTATTATGTGGACGTCTATCTATTTTATAAGTTCTTGCTTGTTTGGATGTGACTCTCATTGGGGGCGAAATGCAACTTCGGATTTTAGGGAGTCAAATGTTTAACAAAAAATAACATAACATTTAATTATTTAACTTATAATATTTTAAATTGCATGATGATTTGTCAAAGGTTAGCCTTTATTTTTGGATAAAGAAAATTTAATCTATCTCTCTTTTTTGTTATTAAAATCATCTACAAAAAAATTTATATCAAATGCCTTAACAATTCTCCTGTCAATATCAATATACAAAAATGAAAAGAGTTAGTTTCTCATAATATGATAAATCAATATTCAAATTCTCATTGAGAGATCGAGGTACCTATATTTAATACCTAATCATATTTTTAAAAAGAATTATTTTCAATAAAAAGATACCTGTGCGCTAAAAAAAAAAAAGAAATAAAGAGAGCTAAGGTATCTATCATGCATCTTGTTACCATACATGGTTTTTAATATCATTCATCTTTATGGCTTATGAATTTTGAAGCCAAAGCTCTGGTCACATAACCCTTGCAATATTTTAAAAAGAATTACTTTTAATAAAAAGACATTTATGTGCTAAAAAATAATAATAAAGAAAGTTAAGGTATCTATCATCCACCTTGTTACCATACATGGTTTTTAATATTATTCATCTTTATAGCTTATGAATTTTGAAGCCAAAACTCTGGTCACATAACCCTTGCAAGGGATTCTACCGCTTTAGCCATTCACAAATCATTAGAAAAGGAATTTTGAAAAAATGTTGCATTTTTTTTCCTTCAAAAAAACTACTAGAAAGGTTTGTTGCACGTGCGGTAAATATATCATAAATTATTTTTAATAACAACTTTTTTTTTACAATTTGTTACTTTTTTATATACTAAAAATATAAACATTTTTTTTATTTATAAACTTATTATTAAAAAAATGAAAACATAATTTGAAAACTACATAAATAAAATTAATTACGTTAATATATTATCATAAATATACAATATAAAGTGTGCTAATATGTTAATATGATATCATAAATAAAAAATTATGTTAACATAATACCATAAGAAGATAATATGAAATATTTTATTAAATTTTAATAGTCACGATCAAGTATGCTTTAACATTTTTTTTTTTGGAAATGGAGTGGAAAAAGACGATGGACATTACAAAAATGTCAAATAAAAAACATTGCATTTTGAAAAAAAGACCATTATAAGATTTATTATCTATGTCACAAATGTATGGTAAATTATTTTAATAATAACTTGTTTTTTGTTACAATTTTTAAATTTTTGTACATACTAAAAATATAAACACTTTATATTGCTTATTAGTTATTACTTGTGAAAAAAATTAAAAGAAAATCTCAAAATTGTATAAAAGGTCAAAGGATAATTTGACCTCTAAACATATAAGTTCAAGGACTTATAAAACCTTAAACTCATTTTTTGTAAAATGTCATCAACTTTTGAAATGAAAATGGTGTAATGTTGATTTTGCTGTTAACAAAAAGTTAACTTTGATTATTTATTGGCAAAAGAAAAAAAATAAAAAATTATTAAAAAATTATAGAAAATGACCTCAAAAATTATAAATAATGATACAAAAATTATAAAAAATGATCAAGAAAAATTGATAATAAAAATTGATTGATATGATTGATTTTAAATAAGGTATTAAAAATTAGAATAGTCATTGAACCTATTAAAGAACTTGTTCAAAGGTTTATGTTCAAAATTTTAATTAAATCATGATCAAATTGTTTATAAATAAAACACTTAATTAAATCAATCAAAATACTTGTTTAACAATTTAGAATTAATTTACCAGTTCTACTGGATGGATTGACATGGATTTTCATAATATGATTTTAAATAATTATGTTACATGGTATAATTAATTTAAAAAATTGATTAATAAGAGTGATTTCAAGTATAATTGGTAACCACAATTGAAAATGAGGTAAAATCATTATTTTGTATAATTATATCCAAACACCCTTTTGTAGAGGAGTTTATATATTTTAAAAAAAATCATAATTTTGAATTTGTAATTAATTTTGACATATAATAAATATGTTTGAATATATTTTTACAAAATCATAATTTTACGCTCTAGTATTGATTCTAAAGGGCATCCAAACTGGCACTATCAAATTATAAGAACCTTGTGTTATAATTTCCACCATTGTTGCCAACAACGGAAAAATGCTTTTAACTGATTTATGAAACTAATTTTGTAAATAAATATGGTCATGCACACATATACATACAAATCTCCATGTAATCACGTGAGTAATCAATTGGTATTATTTATATTATAAAACTTCCTGCAGTTGAAGATGCTTGCAGTTATTAAATTACAACTGGTAGAAAGACAGAAAAATACATCACAAAACACACACCCATACATTAGTTATTATATATGCGTGCATTTGTGTGTGCATCTTAAAAAGCTCATGCATTCGTGTTCTTTGCAACCAGCCATGTACATTAAATGCGATTAAAGCATCGCAACCAAATAGTACATCATCATCAAACAACAAAAATGACAAGACACAAACAAGCATCTATCCTTTTCCAATACTTTTTGTAGCCACATTGATATTGTAAAATTACTGTTACAAATGGATTTTTGAGACGGACTCTTGTCACCTTTTACTGAATCCAAAAACTTCAAGTAGAGACTAGATTAAGAATTGTCTTCAAGAAATGGATAGTCAGTATAACCGATAACTGGATCAGAAGTATAAAATGTCTCTTTGTGGTACTTATTGAGAGGAGCATTAATCTCAAATCTCTTTAGCAAATCTGGATTTGCCAAGAACAATCGACCATATGCCACAAGATCTGCTCTGTTCTCTGCAATTGCTTTATTCCCATCTTCACGTTTATACCCTCCAGCAGTAATGAAAGTGCCACTGAAGGCCTCACTTACGGGCACAAGATTATCAGGGCGCTCACCTTTTTCTTTGTCAATCTTCTTGGGCTCTACCATGTGCAAGTATAGAATGCCATATTTATTCAGAGAATTTGCCATGTATAAGGCAAGTTCTTGTGGATTAGAGTCCACACATTCCTCTGAATCTGCAAAAGGTGAGAGTCTAATTCCCACTCGCTCTGGTCCTATCTCATCAGCAACAGCTTTAACAACTTCTAGTGAAAACCGACATCGGTTCTCCAGTGATCCGCCATATTCATCTGTTCGATCGTTGACTTGATCTTTCATAAATTGATCGAGAAGGTAACCGTAAGCACCATGGATCTCAACACCATCAAACCCTACAATAATTAAACAAGTATCATCATTTTCAATTTGTATCAAGTTACAGCATATAAATGAAAATTAGTACCAGTTCCACCACATAGCGTCCGCAAGATTAGTTTTGCTTCACACACTTGCTAGTCTCTCTAAGTTCCTAAGAAATTCAATCTGGTTCTCCTTAGTTTGAAAACAGGCAACGTTGCCCTAATTTAAAGTAAAAATATCTAGCCTTTTGTTACACTGTTCAAAAGAAAATGGATGTCAACTCGACAGTGTACTTATTTAGATATTACTTTTATAGTGTGACATTAAATTTACACTCTTTTTGGTGTCTAATTAGATAAGAAATCATTAAGTTTGAAGTTAAATATTGGATAAAGGTGTAGCAAGGTGGCAACATCTAATGATTTTACAAAAGAGGAGCAAAACTATGGCTAGTTTGCAATTAGAAGGGACTAAGCTGAACCTTTAGTCAAACTAGAAGGACCAAAGTTGTATTTAAGCTTGTTATTCATCCGCAATCAATATGTATTGAAACAAGAAATTATATAATTTGTAGAAATCAGATTGTGAAAAATCTTCTCATAGCCAGGTCATCTGTGAAGTAACCTGCCATTCAAGTGATTTTTGGGTAACAAATCATCTGGTATTCAAATACCGTTGACTAATCTGAATTTGAGCCTCATACAAGAGAAAGCTCTTCCAACATGTCTTTTTCTATTCACAAGGCTTGAACTGCATACCTTGCTTGAGGAGTATCTGATCTCTTATCACTTTAACGCACTATTACTAGTACCGCATTACTTGTATCGATTTTGGTGGAAGTAGTCTGGCTTCTCAAAACATTAGATAGTGTTGAGACCCTATTACATAACAAACCAGAAAACAGCAAACAAGCAACAACAGAGCACAAAATAAGGGAATTCCTGAGGTCTTAGATTAATGTGATAAGGTGCTGAATCAGAGTTACAAGAAGGACTCCCTGATTCAGTATAAAACCCTCTTCCCTTGTTACAATGAAAATCACAGCAACTGAGATAAACCCAGCTCCTCTACTACAGAGCAACCGCTGGCTTTTGAGAGGCCAGTCCTCTCCTCCCAACTCTCAAATACCAAAAATATGACACACCCCACTTGGGGACCTCAAGCATAATTATAAACCCAAAAGACAACCCTCACGGACTCCAAAAAGAACCCTCTCCTAAGCCAGGTCAAAAGCAACTCTAAAGCAGCCTTAGTTGTTATTTTCTTGCTCCTTAATAGTTGGAGCAGTCAGGTCAACGTTCTGACCATCTGAAGGCATCTATCCTTTTTCATGCTTCTTCTTAGGTTTCCTTTTGTAGGTCTGGCCAGTAAAAGTAATCCTATCAGATAGTTAGTAGATTACCTGCTTCCACAGCATTTCTGGCTGCAAGTCTGAAATCATTGACTATCTGAGGGATTTCATCTGTTCTCAGCCTTCTTGGTGGTGTAAATCGTGAAAGGTCAGTCATTCCCTTGTCTGTACTAGATATTGGGGCTTGTCCATTTGGCTGGAAACCTTTTCAAATAACAATGTATGTGAGATGGGGATAAATTCAACATATACAGGAAACTCAGGTATCTTTCTCCAATACAACGCAAACAAAAGATAATTAACTAATGCTGTTTTTGGATTAGAACCAAATTCCCTTTTTGGATTCACAAAAATTTATGGTTTAGATTTAGAACCCAAATCCATTTTTTATTGTAATTCTTTCGAAATTTCAAATTTCATATATACTTTAGTCACTTAAAGTTTAAGTCACTTCAACTCTCTCTCGTTTTCTTCGCATTTTAACTGTTAGTGGCTTGGGGCCTCTATCACTCTCACCTCTTCTTTCATCCCTCATTCTCATCCCTTATTAACTAAAAAATAGAGATAAACTTGTCACTTTCAATTTTCTATTTTCACTTCAAATCTTATTTTGTCTCTCTTTTTCCTTTGAGTTTAATTTTATGAATTTTAAATGTGACAGGTATATTTTTTTAAAAAAAGTTGCTACAAAGTTGCCTTCAAAAGTTATACTAGAGTTAGTGGAATTTAATTAATTAACTACAATGTGTTGAATAAATTGTTTCAAAATGATAACAATGCTACCATCATGCTATAAGTTTCTACCAAAATATAAAAATGCTAGAATCATGTCTAAGAAAGTTGTCACACATTTATAAGAAGTTTGGAACCAGGATTCAACCAATAAACCACTATGTTTTGAAATTCATTGCCTAAATCCTAGCAGCAAGCTCTCTATGATTTTCTGATAATTTTTTTATATAGAGTTATCATCTTTATAATATGATAGTAACTTGTTCATATCATAGAGGCAACATTGTTATAACTGGCAAAAAACACACTCAAAACTTTGTGGTTAATTTCCTAAGCCCAGGTTCTAACACTACAACTTTGTGGTGATTTTTTTTAATATGCTAGTAATGACTTTATTACCAAGTCATTAACAATGGGTATTTCATCCTTTGTCCGATTTGATCCTTTGGTTTTTTAAAAATAATTTTTAATCTTTAAGAGATTTCTCAGTAAAAAGTTTTAGATTTATATCCGTTATTATAATTCTCCATAAAATTTAGCAAGAGAATACCTGTATTTGAAACCCTTCCAACATGCCAAATCTGACAAAAGAATACACCACCTTTGGCATGAACAGCATCCACAATGGGTCTCCATGCTTTCACCTGCTCCGGGGTCCATATGCCTGGTGTACGCTCAAACCTTTACATTGGAAATAAAAAAATAAAAACAACACAAAAGAAATACTTTTGTAGAACATCCTAGCAAATAAAATAAAATATATGAATATAAAAAAAAACAAATAAAATCTATAATACACAACTGATACCTTAATTTTTTAAAAAAATTTATAAGGTGGGATCGAAAAAGGGTCTCATCAGCTTATGGATTTTTATAGTAATGTAATGCTTCTGCATTTGTTTTTTTTATCAAATGATGTTTTGCGTTTAAAAATAAACAACAAACATTTATTTTTGGTGATAAACAATAAATATTTAATAAATTGTCATGGACATTTAATTCATACATGTAGCATGTTTTTACATTTAATCTATAACTTCAGAAAATTCAGAACTGATTTATGTTTTTAATGAATCGATATGTTTCTCATAATATAACTCATTATAAGAATGTATGTATATCCCTGTAACCATATTATAAAATTTTAAATACTATCATATCTTAGATATCATATTCAGTAAGCAATCAGTTAAATTGGAAAAAATTAACTTGAAAATAATGAAATGTGCAAATTACCCTTGAGCAGTGTCAGAAACACCAGCAGCTTCAGCTATCAGAAGACCCCCATTAGTAGCTCGTTGAGAGTAATATAAGATAGCATGAGGCTGAGGAACATAGTTGTAAGATCTCTGTCTAGTCAGTGGTGCCAAAACAACTCTGTATATCATTGATGCAAGTCACTTTCATAGCGTATTAGAAACGAAGATATAAGGACAAAGAGATTAAAATTATCAACGTGACTAACTTATTCTTGAATTTACATTTCCTAACCAATTTTTTTAAGAAAAATAATTTATTTTGGCAAATTTGTCATCTATTCTTTCTAGATTGTTAAAATATCTTCTATTTTTTTTTTTTTTTAGTTGTGTACAGATATCCTATTGAAGACAATTTTGTTCAAGATATAGTCAGATACTAAATGTGAGCACCTTTCCCTTCAAAAATTCAAATCTTGATTTACCATATTGTGAAGGATTAGCCACTTCTGCTGGACCAAACCTCATCGGTAAATTCTCTTCTATTATTAAAATGGAAAATGACTCCCAACAGATCTTGACCTTTCAGATCAACTGGATGATAAGAAAGAATGTTGTTGAATTTCCCAACAGATCTTGATCTTCACAACAGAATGTATTTCTCATGGCATATTACCATGAGAAATTTTATTTACTTCAAAAATTGTTCTGTTGAGGTCAATTCCTTGAGGAAAAGTCAAAACCGTGAAGATTTTTGTTTTGGTTTTGGTATAGTGAATGGCCATTCTCACACTGAGAATGAAGCGATCCAGACATGGGAAAATGATAATAATTTCAATTACACTCTGGTCATTCAATTAATCTGGATAGTCTACACTTATTTAGAACATTTTGTATCATTAATTAAAGTTCACTCAAAATAATTTAATTTTCACCTTAAACAGAGAAAATCCAAACTCACCCTACAACTTTGCAACGAACAGGTGTAAGGATATCCTAATTTTTTGAGTCTAAGAATGCGACAGTTCAAAAATAAATTATGTTTAATTAAATAAGGCATTCATATTTTCGAAATGATAGACATCATACCCTATATCAACGCTCAGCTGGGACATTTCACGAACACCTCATCTGCATAGATTTAAATCAGAGAAATAGCAGAAGAAACTGGTGAGAAGTGTGAGTACCTATGTGACAGATTGAAATTGCCCATCTTATAAGGTGTGAGCAGAGGAATAACGGTAGCTTCACCAGCCATTTCTGCACCACGCTACTGGTTTCGCTTGTATGTCTCTGCAATGTTATTGCTGTTTCCTGTTTCTGACCATAAGAAAATCAACACACGACAGACTCCACTGAGCTTAAATAAAACTGAGATTCTCGTATAAAATTTGAGTCTACGGCGCGTCTGGATTCGGTGCGTGGAGGGAAGTCACCGCAACCGCACACCCTCAATTACAACGTCGTTTTTCCATTCTCTCCTGGTCAGAGTCTCTTGACGGATCAACGGTTCCGAACTTCCGATGAAACTATTCTCTTCATAGCATTGCCTTTTCCCGCCGCTTCTGCAACAAATTTTGGCCTGAGGCAAAAGGGATCCCAGCCAACATCTCCGCATATTGCCAGAAGAGAAGAAGGTTGGTTCGGCTGTGTTATGAGAATTAATATTTTATAAAATATATCTTAAAAATAAAAAATAATAAAAATTAATATTTTTTTATTCTTTCTTATTCTTTAAAATAATAATTTCAGAACACCTTAAAATTATTTTTATTTTTCTATTCTACATAATAATATTTTATTTTTTATTTTTTAAAATACTTTTAAAAAACATGTTATCAAACAATTTTTTTATTCTTTTATTTTAAAAAATAGAAAACTGTTTTTAAAATTAATTATCAAACATGCTCATCTTTTTTTTTTTTTGGTTTTGGGATTGAGGGAAGATTGTAACATTAGCAACAAGAGATTGCCATTATTAAGAATCACCGACTAATTAAATAAATAAAGGGAATGATTTAGAGTTTTTGGAGACACAAGTTAACCTTGATTAAATAAGAAAATCCTAAAATGATGTAGAAGTTGAAGGGACCCACTTGGCTATGGCGGTGAAAGAAGAAAGACCATTGATCGACATTTGCATTAGATGGCTTGGATTGCTGTTATGTGTACTAAAAAAGAAGAAAGAAAATAAGTAGTGTGTGAGTGTAGCCTTATAGGGCCTTAAAAACGTTAAATGGAGAGAAGAAAGAAAGAGTGAGAGATACAAGAAAGTGAGAGAATAGAGATAAATAGATTATGTTGATATAAATTATATTATGAAGAGAAAGAGACGTTGAAATATCAAAAGTAAGTGAGCATGTCAGTTGTCTACTACTATGAGAGAGAAAAATTAAACGGGTGTTTAGAGTGAAGTGTGTGTGTGAGAAAAGCTAAGAGTGTGTAGAAAAAAAAAACCAAGTGAAATGACATAGTGAGAGAGTGTAAGTATTGAAAAGTCAAAGCGGTATGAGTATTGTAATCATAAAAAATCTCAATCATTTAAATCTTTCTTGTCCAAGCTTGTACCAATTATTTAGTGGTCTTTTGACTTAAATCTCAATATTTGATATTAGAGTTAACTTAAGAACTCGAGCTATGGGGGCGTAGCTGGACTGCTTAAGAGTAGTTGGTAGAGTTTGAGTATTCAGGTGGAAGACTTTGAGTTTGGATTTGCTTGAGGTTCTGTTAGTACAGAGTCTATGATTGTGAAATAGATCGATTAGGGACCAAATCAACTTGGTATAATTACAAGGCATTACCAAGATCACCATGGTAGACATAACATCAAATGTTTATTTAGCAGAGAAGCTAAACAATGAGAATTGTCAAGCATGAAAATCGATAATAGAGCTCTGCCTCGGAGGTCAAAATCTTTAGGATCTCTTTGACAGAGATGACACTACACCTCCAACAAATCCAAGCGAATTGAAGAAGAGATGCATAAGGGCTAAGAAATCTCTTTACATACTAGATGTTACTATTAAGCTACAATTTATTATATATGTCAAAGAGATGAAGATGCCAAAGGAATCATAGGATACATTGGCCTCTCTATTTGCAAGAGCAAATAGAGCAACATTATAGTTGTTGGAGAATGAGTTTGTCTCGATTCGACAAAATGATATGCAGTTGAGTAAGTATTTTTTAAATATTAAATCTATTTGTAATGAGATTTCAAAGTTAGATATAATGAACCCAATTACTGACAGATAAATGTGGAGAATTATTATTACAGGGTTAAATCCAAAATATCATGGCCTAGTCATGGCAATAAGAGGATGGTATACAAAAGCAACTTTAGCTAAGTTGGAAAGTATCCTAGCTAATCAAGAAGCTTTAGATACACAAATATCTAAAGTTTCTTTGAAAGATGAGGAAAATGCTCTCTTTTGCAAAAAGAGAGATTGACGAGAGGTTTCCAACTCAAAGAAGTAGGAAGGTGATAGAAGGCGCCACAATGACTAGCATAGAGAACATTGCAATAGAAGTTCACATTAGAGCTTGTGAAGATTGAGACAAGCCTAATGAAAAGAAAATTTTAAAAGAAATGTCTGTATTATAAATTTGAGAAAGTCGGCCACTTTGCTCGAGATTGTTGGCATAGAAATGCTAAAGGAAGTGTTTTCACCTCCACTATAAAAATGATGGTAAAGAAGAATGGGATTTTTAGGGATAATGTGCCATTAAAGAGGAGATGCTGATAAAAGATTTTAGTGAAGAAAAAATTAGCAATGTCCTGCATCGTGGAAATAGATGAAGTCAAGGAAGAGAATGCTAAGGTAAGCAAGGACCAAGATGTAGATAAGGATGAGGATGGTCTAGAGGAACTCAGCTTGGAGAAAGTGATTGAATTATGTTTTAGTGTTTAGAATTCAATCAAGGAAAAATATGAAGATGAAGACGAAGAAGACAGAGAGCAAGGCCAATCATCACCATTATAAAGATCTATGAAGATATAGAAACCAAGTACCAAGAATATTTTGGAGTAGAAGATGAAGTTGGCTACATGTAGATTCTCTTACCAATATGAAATTGACCATGACACATTTAAGAAGCCATATGGAAGGTTAAAGAAAAAGTAAAAAGATTAATTAGTTGGTGAAGGGAGCATTAAGTATCACTGACTAATCAACAAAAAGGGAATGCTTCAAAATTTTAAAGAAGTGTGTAGTAGTAAAAGAAAATAAGATTCTAGAATTATGTTGAAGAAGAAATTGACTTATATGGCAGTGGAGAATTGAGGAATAAAGAAGGCTTGAGATGAAATCTATCACCCCATTCATCATGTATAAATGTGTGTGTGTGATAGTGTAAAAGAAAAGAGAGGAAGCAAGGTGACATGAGAGATTGAGTGAAATGTGAGTGTAGCGTTGTGTTATAAAAAGTAGGGTGAGAGAGAAAGAGTAAGGAAAAATTAAGGTAAAGATATAAGTATTTATATTTATTATAGTTTGGGTGAATAATAAAAATTTATTTTCACTGTAGTCCCTCTCTTTTTTCATCCTTAAATCCCAATATTTGGTATCCGAGCACAAGGTGAAAGTTGACTATGTATGAATTTTCTCAACAAGACAAAGTAGATTATGACAAGTTCAAGAAATTATTTGGAAGGTTGAAGAAATAAGGCTGATGAAAAGGTAAAAAGATTAATTAGTTAGTGAGGGGAAGTGTTAAGATTCACTAACTAATTAAATAAATAAAGGGAAAGATCTAGAGTTTTTGGGGAAGTAAGTTAAAGCAGTTAAATAAAAAAATTCTAAAATGATGTATATATTGTGGGAATCAATTTGGTTATGGTGGTAAAATAAGAAAGACCAAGAAGGAATGATCTTACCAACATTTGTAAGTATAAATGGATGACTTGGTTTGTTGTTGTGTGTGTCGAGAAATAAGAAAGAAAATAAGACTATAAGAGGGTGAGGAAAGAAAGAGAAAATAAGTAGTGTGTGTAGGTGTAGCCTTGTAGAGTGTTAGAAAAGTTAGGTGAAGAGAAGAAAGAAAGAGTGAGTGACATGGGGAAGTGAGAGAATAGGAACAACTAGATTATGTGCCCGTTTGGTTAGACAAAATAATCGATTATTTTACTGTTAAAATCGATTAATCAAAAATATATCCAAACACGTAAAAATTATGTAATCAATTTTATTGGTTAAAATTAATTTTTTTTCAGAAGTTGGCAATTGGAGTGTTTGTGATAATCCATCAAAAGTGTTGGAGAAAATTACAAACAAAAACCCAAGAAAAAATTATAAAAAAATCCCAAAATTTAATAAAAATAAAACCGATAATATATTTTACTTCTTAAATAAAATGTAACAACTTTAATATTATTAGATACAAATTTATCAATAATTTAATTTTAAAAAGTAATGTCCTTTATGATAATTTAAACAGATAAAATTGATTCTAAAAAAATTATCCAAACATCTTCAGTTCTGTTAAAATTAATTTTAGAAAAATAACATCCAAACAGATTGCATTTTAACATAATCAATTATGATTCAAATCTACCACTTCATTAATTATTTTCATAATCTATTATGTCCAACTGAAATCCAAACGGACCCTATATTGTTGTAAATTGTATTATAAAGAGAAAGAAAAGCTGAATCACTAGAAGTGAGTGAGTATGTGAGCTATGTGCTGATGTGAGAAAGAGAAAAAGTGAGTAGGTGTTTAAAGTGAAGTATGCATGTGAAAGAAGCAAGAGTGTATGGAAACTAAAGTGAGTATGAGTATTGAAAAGTCAAAGTGATATGTGCAATTATTGGTAGAAGCAATAATAAAAAGTCTCTCTCATTTAAGTCCCCCTTTTGTTGCTTAAGTTTTCACCAATTATTTAGTGGTTTTCCTTTACTCAAATCCCAACAACAATTATAAATTAATGAATTATTAGTTGACAGAGCTAATCTATTGGGATGATTTGTTATTTGGGATTTTTCCCAATAGATGTCACCACATAAATCTAAAAAAAATTATCTCTTAGATTTTTAATCAAGTCTAAAGCTAAAACAATAATGTCTTGCTCTCAAGCAAGGATCTACTATGTCGCATTAAAATGATCTCTCATTGTAGTTTAAAGTAGATATAGGTTGTGCTAGTAGATCATTCTAGATCAAAGTTTGGTTAGAATCTCATAATAGATATTGCTTAAGAGTTTTTCAATCAGTATATCAAAATTTCCCATAAGGTCTAGATCATTGTCAGCAAACAAGTAAGTCTTCTTCAAGGTGCAAAATTTAGTAACAAACAAGATTTGAAGATCTTCAAATGATATTATACATGGGCCTGGTTAGTAATTCATATATAGGAGATTTTTCATTTTAGTCGAATCCATATATAGGAGTCAAGCTTTTGACTTTTGAAATATCTTATGGATTCAACCTTATAATTTTCTTTTTTTTATATATGTACAAAGGGCAAGCAAAAGCTCAAAAGGAAAAGAAACAATAAAATTAAACTAACCTAGGGCTTATCAAAAAGGGAAATTAGAGAGTTTGTCCTTATAGAATAATTTATTACAATCAAGAGGCATAAAGTTGAAAGATTAAAGACCTAAGGCTAGGCTATGGGTACTCTTAATTAGGAAAT